TAATTAATATTATTATAATATTATTATTATTCATAAAAATTTCTCCATTTCAGCGTTTAAAACTTCATGTATAAATAATTAAATATTTCATTTCTAATCCTCTCCCTTTTTTTAATTAATTTAATGAAACGATTTATGTGGAAAAGTGATCAGAAATTGAGTCAACAACGACAGCTGTCGATTGAGCGAAAGGTTTAAATTGCCCACCCCTTTATCTAAATATAAATAAAATAATTGTTTTATCAGAGAATTTTCATTCGCAATGAGAACTTTGTCATGTTTATACATTTCTTTCTATCAAATAGAAACGTAACGATCAGTAAATTAAGTTGAAATTCGTAATGAAATACGTCCAACGTAAATTTATCGCGTTACATTAATGGGATTTGAGGTGATGTTCCATTATATTAACGGGTACACGTTATAACATTAACGGTAATTCGATTTAAATCCGCAGTAAACCGTCTATATAACAGGTTTGATTGAAATCAATTTACACAGAACGATTAACCTTCTCGTCGACTGTTAAACGAGCTGCATCCGTAAACCGTGTTATTGCTCCACAGAAAACGATATCTTTCATCTTCATTAATTAACCATGAGAAAACTGTTGAGCATCGAGTCGTATTAAATTTATATGAAGTTCATTCAATCGATTTCAATTGCCTTTATTGTATCGTTCTACAGTAATGCATCATCGAGGAAAATCGTAGAGAATCCTCTCTCAGATATCGTTTATTACGATCCTTTATCAAAATTAATCGTTGTAATTCATTAACGCAATAAATCCTATATTAACCCTTTGTTGCATAATTTCTGTTTCATTTTGAAAAGAAACATAGCTTCATGCAATATAAAATATTTTATTATTTTAGAAAATTATTTATAGAAAATTTATTTAAAAAATAGAAGGATTTCATAGCATATTATTTTATAAATAAATATATTTGCAATGTTACAATATAATGCAACGAAGGGTTGAATTAACTCTAATTGAAAGATTGAACGCAGAAATCAGGCAGCTCTATTTTTACTAATTTTACAGGAACTAAAAGAACTATTTAAAATATTGCTTTTTAAACTTATAATAAAATCTCAATTTCTACTAAAAATGGAATCGCCTGGTTCTTGCATCCAGACATTCAATTATAAAAGATACGAATAGTTAATTTTTCAATTTAATTTTCCAATATTTCCGACACGTTTCGATGGTAATCGAGTAATTAATTATATCTGTGACGTTGGTCATCAGTGACCTACACGTGGAATCTTAAATTTCACTCAAAGCTAATTGAAATTGAATACAAACTTACTTAACCGAAATCACATATCGTAAATTTAATTAGTCTTTTAAAATTAATTCCTGTTTAATTGAAAACCAGTTTACACATGAAATCTTTATCTGAATTTAAATAAAACTTAATTCGTATATAACATATAAATCAAGATGTTAATTTAATTTCTTTTTTAAAAAATATCTACATTTTTCTGAATATTATCTTTTATGACAAGGTAAAAGAAAGATCTGTGAATCTTTCTGGGATGATTAAAGCGTGGTTAGATTTGATGAATCAGTTTGTTCAACGCGGAAATGGACATTTAGCAAGTTTGTTCATGGTCCAGTGACGATAAGGGATGATAAGTTAGAAAAGGGAGGCACATGCTTCTGGTGGGATTTAAAGTGATCGATAACGTTTTCTTGCAAAATATATCTGCCTCACTGACTATTTCGTTCGATAAAAAAGGAAGGTGATCGATGGACGTTTTTCGATGCTACCACGCCTGAAATTTTAATGGAATTTTTGTTTACCAGCTAGAACTTCCACTTTTCTTTCCACAGATTAATTTGAAATATTATAGGGCAAAAAGGGTATTGAAATACTTCCATTAGGATGATCCCGATAATAAAAGATTTTTTTTCAAGCTGTTATATGATGAATCCAGTTTTTGCAATCCATAAATAAAAAAAATCGTATTTGATAGGAAAAAAAAAGTAAAAGTAAGATGAATTACGAAAAAGAATTACTAAAATTCGTAATAGTACGAAATTAACCCTTGAACAGCGGAGCCTGGGTCATTCGTGCTCCAAAATTACAAAACGTATATAAAGATTTTCACTTAAAATTGAATGTATCATTTTCAAGCCAAAGAGCTTTATGTACTGAAAGAATAATAAAATTAAATTAAAATTAGGGCTCTCTCCGTGGTCCGCCGGGTTTGGGTCAATCATGACCCGAAATTACAAAACATACAAGAATATTAACTTAAAGTTTAATGTATAATTTTTAAACGAAAAGGTTTCATATATTGAAAAAATAATTTTTCAAGAGCTACTGTAAAGTTTAGATAATGAAATAGAAATAAATTAAAATTGGGGCTTTCTCCATGGTCCTCTGTCCGCGGGTTAACTGAACATTTCAAAAACATGAAGGAACACAAATGAACACACAATAAAGATACATTATTCGGATGAAACAATATATGTTTCAGACTTAACACAAGGGGAATATAACAAGAACAAGCACGACAAAGTTCCGCTAAAGTTAACTGTCGGATTCACGTGCAAACAGAGGCAACTATAATTTTCAGTTTAAACGTTGCGCTTCGCTAATAATCTGCTTAACACTTGTATAAAGGGACTGGAAACATGACTGCGTTTTGCAGCTTTCAAATATACAATGTACGTTGTGCCGGAATTAATAACGTTTAATTTTAAAAAATAATGATTTTGTAGAGAATGGGAAAAATTGTAAATCTAATTAACTGAAGCGATAATTAATCGATAATAAAATTAGCAGTTCAACTCAATTTTTCAAATCTCAGAACCTTTCTTAAAAATTTAGAAATTTAGAAATTCAAGTTTTGTAATTTAAAAATTTTAAAATACTGAGGGGAGTAAATTCACATTTTTGGGGGCAGCCAGACCCACCCTTGACCCTACCTAGTTATCTCAATGGACCTTCTTTTATAAATAAATAAATTTTTCCCTACATAAAAGTTTTAATTTTTGATTAGCAACATTGCCTAATTTTAATCAACATACCATTATATACACCTCAATCGTCATTCAAGGGTGAATATAATTTTCTTAGATTTTCTAATTTATTTTTTCATTCTACCCAATGGATATTCCATTAAACCCATTTAATTTAATTTGACAAATAATTAAATTTCCTCAAATATTATATTTCCCCTAAACAAAAATCTTTCTTTTGGAAATTTATAACTTTCCCTAATTTTAATAAATGTACCTTAATCCACCCCTCAATGATCATTCGAGGATTCATATAATATAAACCTTTCGATATTCTACCTACATCGAGTCCTTGATACTCGTTCCAAGGACTCGTCGATAAACCGGAAATGGTTGTAGCTCCGTTGACCGACCGCAACCCCTGGAATATGGGGTAAGTTCGATGCAGTTTCAGTGAGAAAAGAGGGTGGACCGCTGGCAATGGACCTTCCCTCCGATTAGCCTCGTCATTGGCAAAGTCAGCAGTGCTTTGAACAGAATGAGGGTCACGAGTGCATAATCGATGCACCTTCCGTGGCAAACCACCCCCACATAGGGGTTGACCTTGCCAACTAGAATCGAAAAACGACCTACCACCAATCGAACAAATTGCATTCATTCAAAAAATTCTCCTCTATTGAATGTTTCATCAAGTTATTTAAATTCGAAAAGAAATTTTGATTTCACAAATGTAATTATTCTAACGAACGTGTTAAACTTTCGCATAATTTTATGTGCAAAAGGTGTACACCTTGTAAAATACGTGCCGATGAAATCGTGGCTTCTTGAAGATTTATTCATGAGACAGCGCTCCTTTATTCGGATTCTGAAGTTCGAATCCCGAAGCGCTGAACAAAAGGAACGACCTCTAGCTTGCCACTTGATACCGTGAAACGAACGGCTGAACTTGTAATGATCAATAGCTGAAGTACAAGTTATTCAAAACCTGAATACCTTCCATGCGCCAGGAGAAATAGGTTGAACAAAACTATCTGGATTTTGAAGTGAATTCACTCCCAAGTAAAGACATCTTAAGACATGATTTATCAGAACATTCCAAGTAAGGTTTCAATAATTATACAAGTTTGTTAAGTTGAATAGAAAAATATTAATAATGTTCTGAAGCTTTGATATATATAATATATATTTTGGTGGAGTTAACAAGGTTTAATTAAAAAAAAAAAGAATAATTTTGAATAGAATGGAAAAATTTGTAAATTTAATTAAATGGAGCAATAATAATCAATGGCCACATCCATAATAAAATCATCACTTCAACTCTATTTCTCAAACCTCAGAACCATTCTATAAAATTTAAAACTTTTTGAATTGGAGTTCTGCAATTTTAGAATTTAAAACATTTAGAAATTTTGAAATGCTATTATTTTAGAAAGAATTATAAATTTTAATTTAAAAGTCAACCACCTGATGCACAGCAGTCTAACAAATATGTAATTAGCATAATAATAAATTGAAGCTCAATGTATTTCTTACAAAAACAGTAAGGTCAAGAAATTTGCTGTGTTTAAGTTTATATGAACTTTCATGATGTTTTAGAATCTTGAAAATCTACATACAAAGTGCTTTACATATGCATGTATATGATGTAACTTGAATTTCAACTTCTAAGATGTTATGAAAGTAACTAAAGTTTGTAGATTCAAACTTTAGTTAGAATTTATAATGTATTTGTTGAAGATGTTTGGTCAAGGTCTAGAAATTGTATATCTAGGAGTGTGGCAGCAAATATTACAAAAAATATACTATTCAAATTCCATAAAATTAATTTAGTAGATTCTCAAGAATAAAAATCATGATTGCAGCGCCATCTACAAGTGCCATCTAAGTTTGATAAACTAATAATATACAGTAAACCATTAATCAATTATAAATGATATAATTTCGGACCAATAATGTTTACCTCGGTTCTCTTAACCAAATATCAATTTTTTTAAAAACGAAAACTTAAATATAGAAATATAAATACCTTTTGCCCTGTTGCGCCGCACAGATTGTACAGGTAACTCTTCTGCGTTCAGTTTGCCACTTATCTGCAAAATGATACTAAAATCAGTATGTTATCCTTCGCGCAGTTAAGACACGACTGGCTCGGTATAATTCTCTGACCTGAAATATTCCTAATCCTGTTTTCGTTTCGCTTCGATCCCCTGCCTGAGTCGATGTCAACAACACGTGTGTTTATGACAATCAGCGTCGGAGCTTCGTGCGACCGTAGTCGTGGAAACATTTCGTAGTATGTGGAAACAAGTTTCATACGACTAATTATTTCACCAAAGTTACACACGGTGTTTCTAGCGAAGTTTTATAACATTATAGATTGTTAACTTGTCAAACACGATACACTTTACTGAAAATTGTACGAAACTGCGCGCGAGACGTGTTCACTATCCAATTCACGCGGGAAAAAGTGAGCAGTTCGGTGGACGTGACGTCACAAACGCAAGCATGATTGGAGACTGAACATGCCTTGTTGTGGCATGATTTTGGGGTATCAGACACCCCAAAGACAGTTAGAACACAGTCGGTATGATAATCGTGTCTGTTTTACCAGTCCATCTTTCACCGCACCTCGCACAGACTACTGAAAAGACGCAATTTTGTCTCCATCTGACTCTAGTTTTTATAAATTAATTAAAGTTAGTACAATAACTGTAAGACAAACTTGTATTTACTTCATGCGCCTTGGTAAATAAATGATTTGAATAAACTGATGATGACACTACATATATTTTTATAGACACAACTTCAATGAATATAGTATTCTAGAGCAATTTTGTCCCAGGGTTTCCATCTTACCCTACCTTCCCCTATGATGGAATAAAAAATTACAAGATACACCTGTGAAATTTTGATTTGCTCTTTTCATGAGCCTCGCGGAGGACTACCCCTACATCATTGCCTCTTTTATAACTCCGTATCCCTTACATCCCTACATCCTTGCATCCCTGCACGAGATGAATAAGACTTATCGGAGGATAAGTGATTAATGTCGATAGAGTTTTACCGATTACCACAGAATTGACCAACGATATGTCGACCAATACGTATGCTTAGTTTGCGTTGTTTTTTTATAGATGGCACCAATGGGTTACCTTGTTTCCAAAAGGCGGTCGATAAGTTGTTGAGTAGTTTCCAGCACTTTTGTATAGGTAACGCCGTGATCGAATTTGGACTACTTTTATTTTAATTTCATGTTTCCCTTTATTGTAATAATGGGACGCGTTCACGCATCCCATTGTTTCACAGAGAGTGAACTTTACACCTGTCTCTAGGAACTTTACATCTGTCCCTTTTTGCTCACCGAAAATTATCAGCCACGCGCGCATACGCGCCGTTTTTCAAATCTCATCTCTTTTGCATTTTAAGTTACTTCATACATTCGCTATACTTTTCCTTCTGTTTCTTATCATCAACATTACAATATTGCCTTGCTCGCTCCATTACATCCCCCTTTTAGTCGCCTCTTACGACAGGCAGGGGATACCGTGACTGTATTCTAAACCCCCCAGCCACAGGGGGTTGGACTACTTTTTATGGGCAATTTGATTTTGCAATTAAATTGTAATTACCATTTACATACCATTAATAATATAACAAATGACTACTATTTATTTTCAAATTACTGGGAAAATGATTATTTTATGCAACTGGATGTAATCCTTGACCAACCTCAGTCGTAAACTGAAACCAAACTATTTTTGTAAATATTAATTACACTACTTTTAATTAACATATTGATCATGGTAATCACCGTAGATTTCCTACAATTGAATAATTAATAAGAGAAGAAAGAAGAACTTTAATTAGTTTCAGTATTATACTAATAATGTAAGGTACCAGATTAAAAGCTTTCATTTAAAAATTAACTAATTATATCTTTAATAATTACAAGTTTAGTATGTCTGACTACACATGGCCTTTTCTACCATGGCAGTCAATGGGTTAATTTTAATGATGTAAATGATGAATCTCTACAGAAATTCTAATGTCGTCAAATATAGTTTAGTACCATTATAGTGGTACCATATCAAAAAATGAAATCTAAATCTTTAGATTTAGCACCATTACAATATAACAACGACTTTATCAATTCCATAAAACGAATCTTTTTTCAAGGGAACCATATTACACTCCGAACAAAGAACAATGGTCAATCAGTTCCATCGGGTTTGGTGGCATAATTTTCATCCCTTCAGTTAATAAAACACAATCGGGTATCCTGATTCATTGTTGATTACATATTCACGCGTGATCGATGAAAAAAATCGGATTTCTTCGCTCGATCGTGGGCGTTTGCGTAGCAAATAAGGGGTGGCCTACGAGAATTCAATTACGAGGCGAGCCTTGCAGCTGCATAAACAAACTCGATTTACCTTTCGCCGGCTGCATTCGACGCGGATGTCCGCCGAACGGAAAGACGAACGAGCGTGGAAAAAAGGAAAGGGTGCTAGTCGTATTCTGCAACTATTTACTCGGTTGAAAGATATCAGGAACGCCGCTCGAGAATTCTAATGAAGTGTATTCCATTTCCAGCCAGGCTGAATGGAAAAGGAACGAGGCTAGAGATTCTTATTTGACGGTTCACGGCACACGTCGTCGGGCCAGAGTACGCAATTACCTGCCTGTCTGTCCTTTATGAAGGATGGAATGGGTTTCGAGACATCAAGTCTGGTTATATTTTAAATTTTCATTACAAGCTTTAATGAAAATATGAAAAATGTCCTTCACTATTCTGATTTTATTTTGAATACAGGAAAAATTTGATAATTACTAAAAAATTCAAACCCAAACCGTATCTTTTCGGTTCTTAGACACGGCTCCAGCCAAGATTTGAATATTGCCGAAATTAGAAAACGATAGATTAAATGTTAACCCTAGCCCTAGAATATCGTGTCAACTTTCAGTTCAAATATGTCTTTGGCTGGTATTTTTAATATGGTTGAATTTTGAGTTGAATTCCAATTTTAATTTGCTCAATCAAGGATCGTCAAATGCATGATATTTCATTTCTCTTTACTTTTTTTTTTTAAATTCAAGCAATGAATAGTTAGCTCTGACTGACGCAATCAGAGGCGAAAGGGTTAAATTTACCTTATGACAATAACTAAGCATTCTTGACAAAATTGCTTATAATTTTTGGACGCATTAATTCTAAAATATGGTCAAATGTTGAACTAAGCATTCTAAAATACTTCTGAAATTGAAGGGGATATTCCTTCAATTTTATAAACATTAGGTTGAATTCTTTCTTGTCTTATATATCTATTATCATAAGATGGACTGACCATCTTTTAGTTCAATTTGAAAGTAGTATATTGAAATGATAATTTATCCACAGAAAAATGAATAAATAATGTGCGCATCTCTAAAGATTCTACCAACTATCAATCTTCCTTTAAGAAAGAAAAGGAACCGGAGCGTTGCGTTGCATCAATTTCCGTGAAAACCCCAGCCGCAATCGTAAAAAGAAGAATCGGGGAATAGCAGCAGATGAAAAACGTAAATGCGACGCAACATGGATCGAGAGAAAAATGAAAGACGGCCGAAATAATGGAACTAAACCGTTACCTGAAAGCGATGAATCGTACGGATGGGAAAGAAGAAACAGAAGAAAAGGGTGGAAGATTGAGGATCCGATAGCCTGAAGGAGAGAAGAGGGATGATAAAGCTCGGGGATCGTAACGGATGCATTCGGTGCAATTTCTCGCTTCTTCCCTTTGCTTTTAACGAGAGCCTCGAAGCCGGGGAGAAGAAAAGATGCCGTTCGAAAATCGGCCACCGACTTCGGATACGTTCGATGATCCCGTATCGTCGTAAATTTCTGTCGTCGTTACACGCTTCTTTCGTTTTTCTTTATAGCCGACCCCGTTCCGTAAGGATACCCAGCATCTATTCGGTATTTCTTCGAGGCGAAACTCGATTCTTCTTCGGTACCTGCGGTTATACGCGTCGAAGGGAAACAGTGGAAATGGGAAATTTTTCACGAGCTACTTTCCTATTCCTGGCCTACGAACTACTTTTTATGGGCAAACGATAGAGCGACGAAGAAATTCATTTTATTTTTTTTTTATTTTGCACTTCTAGAATTTTTTATTATCCTTATGGAACCCCATATGGAACCATCACCCATGTTATTAAAAATTCCTTCATTTGCCTAATTAGGAACACGTATTAGATGGGGGAAGATGGGGTAAGATGACGAATATTATTTTCTGCTTCTTTTATTAATACAGGTGGGTTTTTATTGTTATGTTATCTTTGCACATTGGTGGTGGAGTAGACATTAACTAAAATAATATAAAGTTAAAACCAAATCAAAATTTCACAGGTGTATCTTGTAATTTTTTATTCCATCATAGGGGAAGGTGGGCAAGATAGAAACTATAGAATATTATATTCATTCAAGTTATGTCTATAAAAATATATGTAGTGTCAACATTAGTTTGTTCGAATATGTTGACATAAAACTTTCTAAACTTAATAGAAAAAATAATTATGAACCTAGTTCATAATTAAATCCTAGTCTTAATAGAAAAAATTATGAACCCAATTCATTGTTTTTAGTAACAGGGAAGTGTAGCAACACGAAATAAATAATAATTATTAATTTTAATAAAGCTGAGTACTGCATGGGAAGTAAATTTTGCAATTTATTTAGAATGCAAAATTGAATATCAAATACAATATGAGAGAGCCACAATTCTAATTTAATTCTATACATCATATTATTTTTATTTTCTAAATTCTACACTATTCCTTCAAAAATTATTTTGTTTAAAAATTATACTTATAATTTTGCTACTTTTTTTATATAAGGAATAAGACAGTTAAGACTTATTTTTCTACCTCGTCTTCTCCTACCTATTTAAAATAACAAAATATTGTAAAAATAATGAATAGGATTTGTGAAAAATACAAACAATGCCTATAATGTCTAATGAAATTTTTTAACAACTTTGAGGAAGCAGTCAATATAAATCGTGAAGCTTTTCTTTACTGAAAAAATGTTCCCTGTATGTGTTTCCACATTTATAGAGTGCAAAGTATGAATTATGATAAAATTTCAGTATCTTATTTCAATCAGAGCATCAATTTATTTCATCGAAAAAAGAGCCATAAACGGAACGAATGATACTTTTTCAATTTCCTTGAAAAAGGTTTGAAATTTATTAAACCTGACGTGGCTGGAATCGCGTTCAACTTTTCTCAAGAAATTCAGTCAAAATTCCCCCGAGTACATCGGATTGCCTCGATAAAACGCAAGATCAACTGGAAATAACTGGCATCTAACATTTTTCTATGACTTTCGATGTGCACGCTTGAAATGCATCATACCATGTGCACTAGGTGATCATAGAAGGGGTAGTTTTGCATGCGCTTAATCAGCTCGAGGAATCAACCCTCTCCACGTCGTCAAGGTCACATATTTCAGCCCCATCGAGTCTACACTGACGTAAATGAGCTTCTTACTTGAGCATTCCAACTTTTCGATGCTGAATATCGATTTCCACTCTCAACTTTCAAATAAGTTTAACTATTTTTCATCGAGTCAGAAGCTAGACTTCGAGTGCAAAAAGTATTTATATTTTCAGAAGGTATTCCAAAAATTAAAATAAATGAATTTCAAATAAACTTCAACTATGAATCACCCAACATTTTCCTCTGTCATCTGAGAGTTGAATCAACAAAATAAAATTATCTAATATTGAAATTTAAAATATTAAATAAGATTTCATAAAAGAAAATAAAGCACAATTTTCACTCAGAAAAGAAAAAGGTAGGAAAAATAATATCGTGAATTAGATATGATTTATGCAGATTGCTAGTAAACACTCAACTTTCTTGTATTCCAAAAATGAAAATAAAAAGAATTTCAATAAATCACCTAAAATTTTTCTCTACCATCTAAAGCAAAATAAAATTATCTAATACTGAAATTTAAAATATTAAATAAGATTTTATAAAAGAAAATAAAGCACAATTTTCACTCAGAAAAGAAAAGGATAGGAAAAATAATATCATGAATTAGATATGATTCATGCAGATTGCTAATAAACACTCAACTTTCCTGTATTCCAAAAATGAAAATAAATAGAATTTCAAATAAATTTCAACCCTAAATCACTCAGAACTTTTCTCTGCTATCTAAAAGTTAAATCTGCTATATATTTATAAATAAAAAAATTAATAAAATTATTTAATATTGAATAAGATTTCATAGGAAAAAATAAATGGAAAGGGGAGGAAATGTGGTATGGTAGTAAAAAATAATAATATCCTGAATTAGATGTGACTTGTGCAGGCTGCAATCAAAGAGGCTGGTTTCACAGAATTGTAACTGCACTGCATGCCGGCTGCTGCATTAACTACATGCAGCTCGAAGGGGTGTTTGTAGTGGGGTTGCTGCAATGCGCAACGGCTATGCCAGGACCAACGCTCTTTCACCGACTGTATTTAGGAATTTCATTAAAAGTTTCGTATGACGAATTAGCTTGTCGCGGCTGGGGGAGTAA